TCGATACTCCGGTCTTTCATAATTTAGCCCCGGGACCGATTAAATACCGGGTTTCGGTACCCATCCCTAGCTACCAGCAGCTGTGAGCTGACAGTATTTTTTTATATATATATATATATTTTTTTATCTCACTATTTTTTTCAGTAGACTATGAATGTGTACACGTTGATTTTTGCATTTGAGTAAAATAAAGAGAATTGCAGACCAGTTTTTTTTTTCTCTTAACATCTTACTGTTCCTGTCCCCTAAGCATAGAATAATGAAAAAAAAAAAACACTTTAATTTGCCAAGCCATCAGAACCGAACCGAAAACCATGGTTAAAAAACCAAGGTACGTACTGAACTGTGGGTTAACTGTATTGCTGCATCCCTACTATTTAACAAACCCCTGTTTAATAAAAAAAAAAATGAAGAAAAAAAGCAGCAATGTTATGTTTATTTTTCTGCCCCTGCTCTACTGAACCGTGACTTCAATTCCAAGGTACATACCGAACCGTGATGCTTGTGTACCGTTACAGCCCTAGTAACTATAAATCAGATTTTACGTTATGCTTACAGCCCTGTCAGCCATTCTGGAAAGTTCATTTACATCATACATTTTGGTGTTTACTGTTTATTCCTTAAAAAAAAAACAATATTGTAAACTATATTGAAAATGTCTAAAATTCTGGTAACATTGTTGAAGATTGTAACCAGATATAAAATACATGTAAAATAAAACAGTTAACCTGTTAGCCTGATGAAAACTCTAAAACTCTGCATTGTATTAAATGTTTTTTCAGACCATGTCATGTGATTTTATTTTGAGAAGACTTTAAAAATGCTATTTACTGTCATCATCTAAGCATCTGTTCAGTGTATTGTCTCTATTGATTTATTGTGGCTTCGGAGTATTTGTTGGTTGCAAATATGTATTTGGCTTCGGATAAAAAAAAATAAAATAAAATAATAATATTCTTTTCAAGTATTCTGCAAAGTGATAAAGACTATGTTGATTTTCATTGTATTATAAATATACTCTATTGCAGGGGTGGCGAACTCTGGTCCTGGAGAACCTCAGCCCTGCAGAGTTCAGCTCCAACCCTAATAAAAACTCACCTGCCTGTAGCTTCCTAGTAACTGTTCAGACCTTGATTAGCTTGTTCGGGTGTGTTTGATTAGGGTTGAAGCAAAACTCTGTAGGACTGACGTTCGCCACCCCTGCTCTATTGTTATAAAAATACCTGACATGGATTAAAGAACACAGATAAAGCATATATCGTTGCAATCATGTGTTTATTGCCTTCATGTTTCTCTATCTGTATTTTATTCAGCTGCAGCGATTGTTGGATGCCATGACTGTTCTTCAGCATCATGAATGAATGAAGAATAAGGAATAAACACCAACCTGTTTGTTCTTCAGTATCTTCAGTGTGTTTCATTCTGCAGGGTTCTGCAATTGTTGTGGGAGGAACTAATCTGCCAAAATAAAACTATATCAGCTACTCGTTTTCATAATAAATGACACTTCTAAGTGATTTATGTCTGTTTTTCTATTCATCATAAAGTATTTGATGCTAATTCATAAATCACTTTTATTGCGAATCCTAACATTATTCTGCGTCTTCAATAAACTACAGTCAGATATCAAGAAACATAAGCATACAAGTAATGTAATGTAAATTCTTGCAAACATAAATAATGGTAAGAAAAACATTTGAAAGCATACACGAGAATAAATGTACATATTTGGAACGAACAAATACTCTCAGTCTGTTGAAATGAGCTTTAAGTGGCAATTTACAGGAGATCTGAAGACATTAGCATAATAAACGAGGTGAAAACAGGAACTATTGACATGAAAAAAATAGTCTTTCAGCAGCTCTGTTAATATCGATGAGCCTCAGAGTATTTCGCAGAATCTGTTCCTGTATATTTTAACTATGTAAGGTAACTAATACATTTGATCTGGCAAAGATTAAGAGTGTAGAGAAGATCCAAAGAGAGTAGAAATAAAATGGTATCAGCAGGTCTGAATGAATTCATCATAATTTTCCTCACATGCTCGCTGCTGCTGCACTGAAAGAAGACGCCAAAAAAGACGCACAAGTAGCGCTGAACCCGATGAAAACAATACAGAAATGAGCCTGTAAAAATGTCGCTTATACAAACTGTATAAACTGTGTTTGATGTCTGTTAAATACCGTGAGCTTCTTCTTCTTTTTTCTTCTTCTGTGGGTTTAATGTCTCCTTCTACTTTGACGTTTAATTGCGGTTGGCAAACCAGCTTTGGTGCATATTCCGCCACCTACTGGAATAGAGTGTGAGGCATTGATATCAGAAGAGAGACAGAAAAAAAAACGGAAATACAAATAAAAAGAAAACTTAATACCACCTACTACCTTTCTATATTTTCTTATATAAGTTTGTTGCTTTAAAAAAAAAAAAAAACAAGAGCTTCATATGCTTTGTAAGAACTGTAAAGTATATTCTGCAAAGTTAAAGAATTTATGCCAACAGAAATTTAATCGTTTTTTAATTGAATTCTTCATATGCCATACAATTGATTATTACATGCTCTACAGTTTCTGGAAGTCCACATTTATTGCACTGACCAGAACCATGTTTCCCTATCATTTGAATTGATTTGTTGAGGGCAGGGTTTAAAGGGGTCATATGATGCGATTTCAATTTTTCGATGCGTTTCAAAAAGGTGGGGCATAGAGGAGAAACAATAATGTACAGTATGTGGAAAATAATGTGGTTTTTTAACTTTATTAAACTGCATAAACACATTTCATTACACCAAATACACCAAATAATGTTCTTTTTAGCAGCATCATATGACCCCTTTAATGTCGAGTTGCATACCAGCTTTTAGGTGCATATCGCCACCTCCTGTGCTGGAGTGTGAAGTGATTTCAGTCTAGGTGTGCTTTTTAAATCTATATTCTGTTCTTAAGATCACTATTTTTAATGACTTTTAAAACAGCTTTTATAATTTTAGCTGATCCTTGATTTATATTTAATACATTTCTGATTGTAATTTTTTTGCATCCCATGTTGTAGAGTTCTCGTAATAATTAATTCCTTTCCTGCTCATACCTACAAATTAATAACACATGTTCTACTGTTTCCTTTACTTGGCATGTTTCACATAATCCTGTACTATGTTTACCTATTATATGCTTCCTAACTGCCCTCACCTTATGATCATCCATAGCCACTTCCTCTTGACTGATGACATACCCCAGAAATGACGTTTTAGTCTGGTGGAATTCACATTTCTCTGCCTTGGCATACAATTTATGTTGGATCAGATGTTTGAGAACAGAGCGGACGTGATGGATGTGTTCATCGCCTTCCTTAATACAAATCAAATTATATGCGGAGCGCAGATCGAGCTTGGTAAAATATTTGGCTTGGCGGAGTTGCTCTAGGGCGGCAGGCACTAAAGTAAGTGGGTATCGGAACTTGATGGTGATGTTGTTGAGACCCCGATAATCGATACATGGTCTGAGACTGCTGTCCTTTTTTTTCACAAAGAAGAAGCCGGCTGAAGCAGGTGAGGTAGCGGGTCTGATAAAGACTTTTATTAGTTCCTCTTCAATATATTTCTTCATGGCTTCTGACTCGGGTTGAGACAAAGGGAATATTCTAGGTGTGCTGCCAGGTATTAGCTCGATAGAGCAGTCACAGGAGCGGTGAGGAGGAAGTCGAGAGGCCTGTACTTTGCTGAATGCCTCAGAAAGATCAGCATACTCAAGGGGAAGTCCGGGAATCTCTGGGTTCTCTTTGGTGAGTGTGATGGTGCTGACTGGTATTGGTGAGTCGTGAGTGAGACAGTGATTGTGACAGGCAGGGCTCCACTGTGTGATTTCACCTTCCCTCCAAGAGATATATGGATTGTGTCTACGTAGCCAGGGTAGACCGAGGATCAGAGGATGATTTGGAGAACTAATGACATAAAATTTGAGGGACTCATGGTGAAGTATGCCGATTTGCATCTGTAATTCATCGGTGATGTTTAGTGCATAGTGCGGAAGCCTCATTTGTAACCACTGACCATTTTTCTACAACCTCCATAGCTTCCTGGATTTTTTCCACAATATGTTTAACATTCCTTCCTCTCTTCCACAATACTCCATCATCTGCATATAATGTCGTTTTAATTCCTGGATGGATCCTTCAAACACATCATTAATCATAATATTAAATAAAACCGGACTTATAGCACTACCCTGAGGTGTTCCATTTTCTACACTCATCATCTGAGATAATGTATTACCCACTTTGACTTGAATTGATCAACCAAATAAGAAACTTAAAACCCAATTATAAAATCTACCTTCAATTCTTATTCTCTGCAAGTTCAATAACAATCCTTCTCTCCACATCATATTGCATGCCTTTTCAATATCCAAAAAGACTCCCACTAACACCTCCTTCATTGAAAACGCTTTCTTTATATCAGTTTCTAGTCTTATTAATGCATCTAACATATAGATCTACCAGGACGAAAGCCAAATTGATAAGGTGCTATTAATTGTTTGCTTTCTAAGACATAACGTAAACGATTAATAATAATCTTCTCCATCACTTTGCATAAGTTGGATGTCAGAGCAATCGGTCTATAATTTCCGGCTTTTGAAGAATCTTTTCCTGGTTTAAGAATAGGAACTATGATTGCTTGTTTCCAGGATGAAGGCAGTTGTCCTTCCATCCATATTTTATTAAAGAAATCGAATAATATTTTAAGTAATACGTCATCCATATGTTTAATCATCTTATAGCAAATTTGGTCTTTTCCTGGTGCAGTGTCACTAACCCTCATTAAAACCCTTTTTAGTTCCCACGTTTTAAAGGTAGCATCTAAAGCTGTTTGACTATTAGGTTTCTTAATGTAAATGTCTTGTTGTTGCTTTAAAATTTCTTCCCTTCTTTCGTTATAATTTCCCTCTAGATTATCAGTACTATGTGCTTTTTGAAAGGCGTATGCTAACATTTCAGCTTTTTCCATTTCAGTCACTGCTGTTTTCTCTTCATCTACTAAAGCTGGAATATTTTGAGATCTATAAGCTCCAACCATCTTTTTAAGGACATTCCAAACTTCTCCTACCTGAGTTTCCCTTCCTATTGTAGTGCAAAATGTTTGCCAATATTTCCTTTTAACTTGCTTAATTATCTTCCTTGCCTCTGCCCTTTTCCTCTGATATATTATTAAAGTTGTAGGAATTAATGTTTTCCTTAGCTCCCTAAATGCCTTATTCCTTTCTTTAACTGCTTTAGTGCAGTCTTCATTCCACCAAGGTACAATCCTGATTCTGCCTTTACCCTCTGATTTAGGTATGGATTCTTCATCTGCTTTAAAAATAATTGAATTTAATCTAGTATAACATGTGTCTATATCATCTTCAGTACTAAATTTCACCAATTCATTAGTGCATAATTTGTTAAATTTATCCCAATCAGCTTCAACAAATCTCCATTTAGTTTGCTTTGTATTAGTTTGTTTATATAATTCTATACCGATACTGCATGTTATTGGAAAATGATCACTTCCTAATGTTGTATGATCTAGAACTTCCCATTTACACTTCAAAGCTATATTTCCAGGAACTAATGATAAGTCTAAACGTGTAGTGGATGAATCCCTTATCTTGAATCTAGTGCCCTTCCCATCATTTAAACATACTAACCCTTGTTCTTCCATAAACTCTTCTACTACCCTTCCATTACTATCTGTGTGTAAACTTCCCCAAAGTGGATTATGAGAATTAAAATCCCCACACCATATCAAATTTTCCCCAGCATTGTTTCGTATTATATTTAATTCATCTAGTGATAACTCCTTCCATGGATTATAAAAGTTTATCACCTTTATTCCCCCTTCACGTGTCCACACTTCTACAACAACACATTTATTTTGCGTATCTAAAATTATTTCTCTAAAAGCTACCCCCCTCTTTCACAAAGGTTCCACATCCCCCACCACTTGCTCCAATTCGGTCCTTCCTGACCGATATGTACCCAGGAATGGTAAAATTTAATTGTGAATTAAGCCAAGTCTCTTGAACGCAGATAATGTCTGATACCACTATTAACTGATGTACAATTTTTTTTTTTAATTCTTGGCCATTCGCAATTAAACTTCGAACATTCCATTGTAGTATTTTCATTTTATAGTTTTACTTCTTTGACTACCTGACAAGTCACTTGTCCCTGTAGTTCCTTCAGATTGTTCAAGTAATATTTGGATCTGATCTACTGAAATTTCATTAATATCCAAATGTCGAGCAGCTGCAGATACTATGATTTTCCGTTTTTCAGTTCTTTTGGTTGTTTGTGCTGTGCAATTTATTACTTCTGCTACAAATGCCACAAAATTTATTTTGTTTACCACTAGCATGTTTCCATCCATGAGACATTTGTGAGTGCATGACTCTTTAGATTGAATTATGTTGTTTTCCTTCATGTTTCTATCAACCGCCTGAACTTGCTTGACCGCTTGAGCATATGTTATATTTTGTACTGTTTTGTCTCTCATTACTTCTTGCACTCTTTTTTGGGCTTCACAGCCTAAATATGCTGCACTGTGTGGCCCTCCACAGTTGCAACATTTTGGTTCCACCCCCTCTCCACATTGTCTGTATTCATGATCTCCGCCACATTTACAGCATCTTTTTTTCCCTTTACAAACTGCTGCTACATGTCCGAATCTCTGGCAATTGAAACATTACCAGGGCCGGATTATCCATAGACGGGAATGGGCGAATGCCCTGGGGCACCAGCCAATACGGGGGCACCAAGTGATTACGATAATTACTAGACCTTTAAAATATTTTTAATGTTTTGTATATATATTATTTTGCTGGAAGAGATGCAGATACAAAATGAACAGTTAATGATAAAATATATACAGAGAGAAAATAAAATATATGCACATATAAAGAATGGGTCAGGTCACAGTATATTTGCCCCCTCCCCCCAGTCAGAGTCGAGCCCGCCAATTTATAATATTCAATTCAAAATGGATAGGCAGCATCAGTTTAGCGGTTGTGCAAAACGTAAGTTAAAAAAAGAGAAAATATCACGACACATAGCCACCCTTCAAAAAGTACCTGCAATATCAAATATTTTTCTTCGAAATGAAGAAAAGACAGAAACATCGGCATCACCAGCAGAAGGCACTCGCAGTGAAACTAATGCCTCTACCGATACGACTCAAGCAGCAGCTAATGTTGTGAGCAAAGGCGGTAACCAGGTGCAGGAGAGTGGAGGCAACAGAGAGGATGATGGGGCTCACGAGGTTTATGGAAATAATATCACACGTAGGCCGGAGGATCAGCTGCA